CTTGAAACCGGATTCCCACCACCATCCATCCCAGAAGAACTGCCTCATCAAGACTCTATACCATAGAGCCCAATGCATTTCCGACCAGGAACACATTACCAGTGAACTCAAGCACGTACACCAGGCTCTCAGGGCTAATGGCTACTCCGACTACACAATCCGCAAAGCCATCACTCCAGTCATGAAGAAGGATCCTCTTGTGGAGCCACTCAAAACCATCACCTTACCCTACATTGCAGGGGTCACTAAAAAGATCTCCAAAATCCTGAATAAACACAAGATCCAGGTCCGATTCAACACAGTACACAAAATCCGTGATTTAGTTCCATCTGTAAAAGATGCTCTTCCAGACATACAGTACCCAGGCGTTTACAAACTAAAGTGCCTCTGTGGTAGTAGCTACATTGGAGAAACCAAAAGACATATCTCGGACCGCATCCGCGAACATAAAGCAGACTTGAAACACGGTAAGACGAACTCCTCTGCCGTGGCAGATCACTGTTACAATTCAGTGGGCTCACATGACATTGACTTCTCCAAGACGGAGGTTCTTTGCAAACCAACCGGCTACCATGAGAGATTCGTTCATGAGGCCATTCACATATACAAGCACAGAGACAATTTCAACCGAGAAGATGGATTCAGGCTTAGTAACCACTGGAAAGATGTGTTAAATCATTTCTGTTCTTAATTAATTGTAATTTTACGATGTCCTTCAGACCGCAGCTCTTTCGCCAGCATTGCCTCTTAATACCTCTCACACCACGGTTAATGGTATGGTTTACAACATGGAGCATACTAGGGCCTCGCAGCTGTCTCTCTCCCCCTCCTCTGTTCCGACCATGGACGAACTCGTCCGTCTGAACGGGGCCCATAGCTATCCGTGGTACGGAAATTTGAGGGTAAGAATCCACCCATTTTTTCGCCATATAGCATTGTGATATATAACGACTTATGGTTGGTAGCTTAGCTGATTGGAGAATATAGAGTTTATTGATAACATGAAGGTAATTTATATTTTAGTTTTTATTGGTTCACTATATAGTACTGTGAATAGCTCAGATGTGTAGTCATTTCTGTGACCAGTCACTAGCAAATCACCCAGTTATTTCAATGCTAAATTCGCCTAGTTATTTCAATGCTAAATTCTCCTGTTTGATTTGTACTAAGTGCCTCGGTGAATGTGTATGCTCTGACTTCAACGTAGCTATTTCTGTAGCAGTTACAAGCGAATCACTCAGCCATTTCAATGCTAAATTCTATGCTAATCCCATTGTCAAGGGGTGCCTCTGCGGATGTGTATGCCTTAACTTAGCTATTTCAATGCTAAATTCTATGCTAATTCCTTTTAACAATGGGTGCCTCTGCGGATGTGTATGCTTTAACTTTTAACATAGCTATTTCTGTGACCAGTCACAAGCTAATCATTCAGCCATTTCAATGCTAAATTTTATGCTAATTCCTGTGTCAAGGCTCTTTGTTCCTCTCACACAGCTTAAAAGCCGTGATCTGAACGTGGCTCTCTCACTCCAGCGCTGTCCTACCAGACAGTCTCGCCCCCTTCACCTGATGAAGGCCGCTTGTGTTGTGGCCGAAACGTCGTGAGAATATTATTGTGTTATTTTATTTTATCAATTTATTATTTTATTCTCATTCTACGTGACTTTACCGAAAGAACCAAAGAAGATGAATCATTGCAGTCACGAAAGCTTTAAATCGAAATACAACACGTTCTACTTAATGAAATAGACGTTTTAATAAATGTTTTCTCCTACAACATCAGAGTGCAGCGCCACATTAAATACGCACTAAAATGACAATAGTTTATGCCGATTTGAAGCATGTTTTATTTTTTGGGGGGGGGCAGAGCTTTGTGACATCATATTTGAGGGGGAGGTCTGACTTTTTATGACGCCGTGTGACGAGGAGGGGGGGGGGTCAAAAATCGTCCAAAATCGCGTGACGTCATTTATGGACGCGGTCCCTTATAGGAGAACAAACCTGCTTGCCTGCAGTGTAAACACCCAGCGTTGTCCGTCTCATTTCGCCGGCGATGACAGACGAGCAAGGCGGTCTGTATCGCCACCTATTGGCGAGCGCGCGGGGCAAGTGGCACCATGCCATGTTAATAGCTTCAAAAACCATGTGACAGTTGTTGTTGCACGGCATGTGGAAGGGGACACAATTCGTAACCCTATTGGTGTTCTGGACAGACGGATTTGTGAAGGAGGCGACTTTTTTTTGTTGTTTATATTCCCTACAACGGCAGTCAGGGCAGGCAAGCTTTTGCAAAATATATTGCTAAATATTATACAGGGTGCTTCAAAAGAATGTGAACACTTTTGATAATTGGTAATTTTGCAACAACACGAGAAATATGTTGCCTCCGGGCTCTGGAGAAGAAGATTCCCGACCACGTGTTGACAATGGTGGCGAACACGTGGGAGACTCTTTGACTTTTTGAAGCTATTAACATTACATTTGTTATCATGTTACACCGTATTATCCGTTATTTTTTCATTTAAAACGATAGTCCCAAAATGATCCTTATGGCTGTACCCCGGGGTGACCAAATAATACAAAATGGGCCGAGGCAATTAAAAATGTTATTTCTGGGACACTATTTTTTGTTCCAGGGGTGTTACTTCACTCCGCGAATGGGGTAACCGATCAATCCGACATCGGTGCCACACTCCGCGATGTAGAAACGCCAAACATTAGCATTTAAAAAAAAAAATCCGTTTTCGAAAAATTCAACTCTGAATAGTGCATCGTGAGCACAGCTGGTAGAGACGAGTCGATTGCCGCATCGCCGACCATCAACAGACTAAAAGTGACTGCATCGCGGGGGACATTATGCGAGAGCCGGGGCACTGTGGTGACCCCGGGGCTAACCGCCATCAGATTCATATAACTGTTAACATATTTTTGAAGCACGTTATATATTTAGAAATGTACATTTGTTTGACGTTGGAATGTCTTGTCTTCAGCCATCGTCGATCCGAAGGTTGGCCGCATGGCCAATCCTGGCTTCTTTCTTCTGCTATCCTCATTGTCGCATAGATGTCAACCCATACGGTTTAGGGCGTATTCTTGGGACTTTGAAGGATTGACGTTGAGATTTAGAATGGCACGGGGCGACCACTTAGGTCTGAATTGGTCTGTAATAAGTTGGCACTAAGGGGTTGACGGGTGCGTTGTTGGAATGTGTACAATATAAATAACACTATGTAACACGATTTTTGTTCCTGGGTAGTGTTATTTTCTAATTGCTTATGCCTCAAAAGTATTTAAAAAATGGCTATTATTATTATTCCCCCACGAACTTTACTTTTGCGACCAAGACTTTATGCGATGGAATGACACAAATGCACACCGCGTTTTCTCATTGAAAATGGGGGTCGTCCATAAATGACGTCACGCACCTAGGGGGGGGGGGGGGTCAGACATTTGTGACGATGTGTGAAGAGGGGGGGGGGGGTTTGAGAAATGTGACGTCACATCAAAATGCGCAACTTTAAATAAATATAGAATTGTTATAACAACACTCCTACGACATCAGAGTGCAGCGCCGCATTAAATACGCACTACAATGACAATAGTTTAAAGCGATTTGAAGCATGTTTTATCTTCAAAATAGAAATGTTTTATTTGGGGGGGGGGGGGGCAGAGCTTTGTGACGTCATATTTAAGGGGGGGGTCTGACTTTTTGTGACGTCGTGACGAAGGGGGGGGGGGGTCCAAAATCGTCCAAAATCGCGTGACGTAATTTATGGACTGCCCCTAAGATCCGCGGGGTTGTGTCGACATGCCACGAGGAGACGGTGGCCACGTGGCTCAGCGGTGGAAGTCAAATCCTGGTTGGAGTGGAGTCGGGTGGAGCCGGGGGTGGGGGGCTCAGCCCATCATCATCATCCCTTTCGGGGTTGATAAAATAGGGAACCGCTTTGTGGGGAGGTCAACAGCGGTTTGCCCTATGGTAGACATTCGGCCCGCCCGCCCGCCGTAGGAATGTGGAATTTCCACCACGAGCTCCGGCGGGGCTGCAGCAAATGCCCCGGTGCTCACGTTTGGCGGGGAAAGTCACCCCTTTAAGGAACAATTTTAATCCTATCTGCTTTGATGGGCACCTCGTTAATTATCACCTCGTTAATTATCACCGCGCTAATTGTATTTGTCGACACAACAACAACCACACAGCCACTCGGCCGAACTGCGCCGCGTAGCCGCGCATCGCGATACGCGCACCCCGAGTTCATTGAACGCTAAAAACAATGTCACATTGCCCCGTGACATTTAACATGGCGATACATTGAGAAAGTTAATCAACGTAAGTTTAAAATTTTTTAAACGAAACAAAATCGGTTCACGAAAACAAAAAAACGATGTTCTTAAACGTAACTGGCGTCGATTATCCAACTTCGGTGTCGGCATTGGAACGCAAATCCAATGCGTTGCGAAAGTTAATCAACTGAAGTTAACATTTAAAAAATAAAATCGTTGAGCGAAAAAAAACCCCAACGATGTTCTTAAACGTAACTGCGTCGATATCCAATTGGAGTATCGGAATTGGAACGCACAAAAATCCGCAGGAGATGGAGCGACGAAACGAGCTCGCGTGGTGGGAGCTGTTGCATCGGCAGGATCCGGAGGGTGGGGGTTGGAGGTAAGGGTGGGGGTGGTGAGTTGTGGACGGGAAAGGAAATAAAATGACTTCATCCAGCAGTGGATCGTGCCTGGCCTGCTGTTGATGATGCCCCTGGGGGGAGGGGGGCGTTGTGGCGCCTCGCCGCAGCTACCGCGGTATTTACGGTAGAAGCGTAGACGTGGAGTCCGGGGCGGTGCCGCCTCGCCATTGGTCGGAGGCTTGGCCCAGGCTCCACCCCCCCTCCACCAGCAAACCCCCCCCCCCGCGCGCACGCTCCACGACCAATCGGCGCTATGCGAGGGGGGGCGCGCGACGCCCGGGAGGCGTGGCGAGAGGCGTGGCGGGGGCGTGGCGAGAGGCGCGACGGGGGCGTGGCGAGGGTGAGAGTTGTCTCCATCCGCCGCTGGTGAACAAATTGTGAAGCGGCCCCGCGGAGGAGCCGGAGCTATGGCGGGCGCGGAGGAGACGGGAGCTCACGACGGGAAACGTGAGCGCAGTGTCCCACCCCCACACCCCACCCACTAACCTCTTTATGGACACAGCTTGCGGGCTGCCCCAAGGTGTCAGCGGCGGGCCTCGCCTTGATTTGGCGTCACGGAGTTTAGAACGTTGACTGCCGGCAGTTCGGCGGTGGTTGTTGGTGTTACGGTATCGATACTTTTTTTGTAACGCGCCGAGACCGATGCCTCATTCGATTCGATTTCGGGAATCGATATTAGCCCGCCGTGGCGAATGGTGGAATCGATAGTTGACCGGTTTTGCTTTTGCCGATTCTCTACGTGTACGGTCGACGTCTTGTATCGATTCCGCCCCAATAGGAATCGAGATCGATTCTTCTCCAGGCGTCTCTTCGACTTATAAGACGGCAAACCTTGAACGCGCCCCCTTGTGTATGGCAGCAAGACTTGAGGCAGGAGGCCTGCGTCTTTATAATCCAGTAGCGGCGGTGTGTGTGGAGTCTTTGTGGGAAGTATTGGAGTCCTGTAGAGTACGATGGCTTTAAAGTGTTTTTAGTGGTGGTGGTGGTGTTGGTGGTGGTGTTTGTGGTGCACGCCTGTCAACACTCGATTTGTTCATATCGCTTCGTGCGGCTCGCATGCTGTGGTACCACGACCCCGGTTTTGCCGTCACCGCCAGCAATCCGTAGCCGCCCTAATCGGGTTCTAGAGAGCAGCAGCAGCGTCTGTTGCTAAAGCACAGGCACACGCACAGCCGTCAAACCCTTATCAGTGCTGTCTAACTTATTGCAGACCAATTCAGAACTTATTGGCCCTCATAAATCTCAACGGTCATCCTACAAAGTCCAACCACAAGGGAGTAACACAAACAAATATACAACATATATATTAAAAAAAATGTTTTGCCCGTATTGAAACGTCTGTACGCCGTGTGGCCCTTAAAAACTCAATTTCCCTGTGCAGTAATACGGGGGTCTAAACCGCGTGGGTTTGACAGCTATGATGGTGCCAATCTGGGACGTGGTGTGAAGGTGGGCGCTGTGGGGTGTGCCTGGGGGTGAGTGTGTGGGGTGAGTGTGATGAGGCTCGGGTGAGTGTGAGGCAGTGGGTGATGTACGTACGCCTTTTGGGCGTCTTCTGGTCCAACACCAGTGGAGACTAAGGGCTCTAAGAAAAGCCGTCTCGGGTGTGGAACAATCAAATTCAAGGACAGTGCCAATATCATTATCAGAGTTGTCTTTTTTGTTGTTTGCATGTTGACTGCTTGTGTTGTGGTTATTGCAAACATGATGCCTTGAATAAAGGTGTCAGTTTTTTGTGCCAGTTAAAAAGGGTAAAACCTATTCCTGTCTGCGAATAGTCTCAAATCGGTCAACCCATGGCACGTGCTGGGTCTGTCCCGTTACCTGCTGTCAGCAGCGAGCCTTCGACACTTCACGTGATGGCCTCAAAGTGCACCTGGCCTGGCACAGGCGCAGTGGTGAGGTCACCGCCACTTAGTGGCGAACGGGGGGTATTGTTGTTGTTGTGTATTGTCTGGGAGACAAAGGCGGCCGGGCGTGGTGCTGGCGACCCCACCGGCTCGTGTGCCGTTCCGGGCCTTCATAGGTGCTCGCTAACTGCACTTGCCCCCAAAAGGCTGTTAAGGCTATACGGGGGGGATCTTCATCTTTGTTTCTTACAAAGTACTCGTACTGTTTCTACCAAATATCACGGTGGAAACACCCAATCACCCTTGCTGCTGGAGGCCCCAGGGGAAATGGCGTTGTTTGATGCCCTTCTGGCCAAAACTCCACGTCGAGGAGACGGATTGAACCCTCCCCCACCACTCCCCCCACGGGGTTCCTCCAGAAAACCACTGCAGGTCGGCCACGTGGAATGTCCCAACGCTTCCTGTGGCAGTTAAAGGCTGTTGTCATTCCCCGTTCCTCCCAGGTCCTCTGTGGAATACGTGGGGGTCCGGTGGGCTGGTTTGTGGCCCCAGTCGGCCATGAAGGGGTGGCCGGTCCTCCTCCGCTACGGGGGCAGCGAACTGCCAAACAAAACAGGGAGCGGCATTGCTGTTGAATACAAGAATAAAGGGGGGTTATCGGAGCGTGGAGGCGAGGCGTGTGAATCCGCGAGTCGCACTGTGGGGCTCGCATACGCCCCCCCTCCCCCAACGAAGATGTGAACGTCAGTGGAAGGGGATGAAGGCCCTTTGAGCCAGATGCCTTCTATGACCTCCTATTCCAGGTGCTGGCTAAAGTTGCCCCCTCGAGATAGAGTCGTCCTGTTGCGACGCTCACAACAACGAGCGGAGCGCCCGGGCGGCTAAAACGCGGCAAGTTGACACAGTAGGGGCGGGGGGGTGTGCACAGTCAACCCATGGCACCTGTCCCGTGACGAGTACCGTAACTAGCGTGGGGGCAGGGGGTCCCTTGCCCCCCCCCCCCCCGTGATAGCCAAAGCTACATCCAGCACCATGAGAGAAGTTTTCGACAGTGTTGCGACCCCACCTGACCGATGGCCGCACCCCCCCAAGCTGGTAGTGTCGTCACTGCGGCACTCTTCGGGACCTGCCCGCGAGCCGTCGACACTTCACGTGTCCTCGGGGTGCACCTAGCCTGGCACAAGCGCCGTGGTGACGTCACCGCCACTGAGTGGCGAATGGCGGATTTTGGTGGTGTGTTTGCGTGCGTGCATGTGTGTGCATTCGGGGTGCATGGTGTGTATTTGACCGGAGGTCTGAGTAACCTTTTTGACATCTGGCACAAGCTTTCGGCCTTCATAGGTTCTCGCTGACAGCACTTGTCCCAACAGTCTGTCAAGGCTACACGAGGCATCTTCATCTTGGTCTTTGTGTGTGCGCGCGTGAGGCCATATTTGAACACCTTAATTGTCACCGAGCAAGAGTTTGGGGTGCGTCTTACTTTGCGGTGTGCCTTATAACCTGGAACACGTCCGCAACGTGGCAACTCATCTTATTGCTCTTAACTTGATTTTATGAAGTGCAGATTTTAGCTGTTGTCTTTATGAACAACAATACAAGTTAACCTTCGCGAGTAGTTTCACTCTTTCGTGTGACACTCTACGTGCGCTTATGCGCATTTGCGAGCACCTATGGTGGCAGCACTTCCTGCAACAGTCTTATCGGGCTATAAGGAGCAGCTTTGTCATTGTATGTTATATGTGTGTCCATGTGTGTGTGTGTGCGTCTCCCTGTCATTATGTCTGTGTGCCTGTCTCGAGGTGTCTTTGTGTGTATCTGTGTGTCTGGTTTTGTGTCTGAGTCATTCTTCGTGTGTGTATCCTTGTGTCATTTTCCACATCCCATCAGCCACATGGCCTTCTGGGAGCGATATTTTTTCAGTTCAGTTGCATTGAATTATTACAAGCAAACTGGACCGGTTTCGACTTTCAACGTCTCATCAGTAGAGCCAGGCTCGCGTACACCATGGTTGGTGGACAGTCAGTGCGTGTGTCTCTGCCAGTGTGTCAGGAATCAAATGCTTTCATGGCTTTGGCTATGATGACATCTTGGTGGAAAATGACACAATCGGTGATTAGCACGGTTGACTACTGAAGGTGCAAAATAAGTTCAACATAAATACTTCCGTAAAGGTGGGTCGTTCTGTTTAAACATATCACTGCCTGTAAAGTTAACATGTATGCACAGAAGATTGTGCAAGGATGAGAGAGAGTGTGCGCTTAAATAAGATAAGTACAGGATCAAGGCTAGTTCAACATCAATAGGAACTGCTGTGATCTTGTGCGTACGTATGTGGATAGTTGTTTGGGGAGGGGTGGCACAGTGGATTGTAAATGCGCGACGAACCCGGCAAACCTGATTTTTTTTTCTCTGGATACAGCCCGACATCGGTAGCAAGTGAAACCTGAACCAGTTTCGGGCTCTCTCCTAGGTCGACTTGGCCTTAAATGAGCAGCTGGTGCAGTGTGTCAACATCAGTACTGGGCAGACAAAGACGGCCGAGAGTGGTTCCCGGCCACACCTTCCCACCGTGTCGCCGCGCCGGTCATCATTGGTGTTCAATAGGTGCCTGCTAACAGCACTCGCCATTGAGGAAATAAGATTGATGATGATGATGTCATAAATGTTATTTGCCACCGGGGGTTAGGTTCCTGGAAAAGGCCGCGGTTAGGCACATCCGTGCTTGGTAAAGTACAGGGGGCCTTTGGGACATGGGGGGTTAGGGCAGGGGTGGGCAAATTTTTTGACTCGCGGGCCACAATGGGTTCTAAAATTTTACAGAGGGGTCGGGCCAGGAACAGATGGATGGAGTGTTTGTGTGAACTAATATAAATGACATGTAAAAATCATTACATGAAAGGATTTGGCCTTTAACAGGTATCAAAGCATTTATTTGCAAGGCAGTTTAACACATTGCACGAACATGAACAATACAAAAACGTGTCGTAACTCCCGGTCAAAGTGCGCCATCTAATGGGGAAATGGGGGCATTACAGGAGAAGCGGAAAATGTAATTTAATAATAATATTTGGACAAGTTCGGCGGGCTGGATTAAAAAGCCTAACGGACCGTATACGGCCCGGGGGCCGTACTTTGCCCATATCTGGGTTAGGGGAACCATGGCCACGGTCAGACTCGTCATAGGTCAACTGACTTTCCTGTTGGTTCACCAAACACGAATACAATACAGTACATGACACAATGACGTAATCAAACAATAAACATTACATTCACTTTACATGCCTTTAATATTAACGACCATGATGATGACGATGACAATGAGATGATGGGGGAAGGGGCGGTTAGAAGGAGGAGGGCCTCAGCCCAGCCTCCCCCTTTTCTTCCGGCTCATCAATAACAGATCGAGCGCGTTATCGGAAACGCAATCGGAAGAAAAAATGAAATAACTTTATCGGTACGTCTTCAGGTCGGAAGACGTATCAAGGCACCCACAAGGCCATGCGGGACGGCGTGTGGCACAGTTTGGCGCCAGCCGTCGCAGAGTGCGGTCGTGCCGCTGCGGTTCTCTGCGGTGAGTACAGTACAACGTCTTTAAAAAAACCAGCGGCGCTGCGCCTCTAAATGAAATTAACGCTGGCCGCTTGAGCGTTCCGAGGTTAAGCGGTAAGCTGTGCAGCGCGTCGGGTGGCCTCGGGTGGCCACGGGTGGCGGTGTGGCGCGAAGGAGAACCGTGGCGCCCGCAGAATTTGTAAGTTCGTGTTGCGGACACGTGCTTAACCCGTGGATACTCAAATTTGCAGGTCCGCGGTTGGTAAATTGTAGCACAAATAAATAAACCGTGTGCACGTGAATGAGCGGTTGGCAAGTCCGCGGTTGGCGATGTTCGCCGACGGTCAAGATTCACGCCAGGCAGGGAACGCGTCCGAGACGCCGTCCGTCAAGGAGCTGGAGCTATGAGATCGGCTCGTGTGCAGGCATCATTGCATCGCGAGGATCGTGAGGCAGGTTCGCTGCCGTTATGGGGACGCCTTCCTCCAGCACTGGATAGACAATTCATGATGATGGCTCGGGGCGGCCTTCGTCCAGCAGTGGATTGGCCGTGGCTGACGTTGGTGATGGATCGTCGCCAGTCTCTTTTGTTGTAACACAACTGCACATTGCGTAGTGAGCGTGTGAGCGCGTACATGTACATGTGAACGTGTGTGTGTGTGGACACACGTTGGTGGGGAGCAGTGGCGCAGTGGTTGGGGCACGGTGCTGCGGACCTCGAAACCCGAGTTCGATCCCTGCTCGCAGCCAACATCGATGACCAGTATCTGAACTGGCCCTGGACCTCGCTTGGGGGCAACTCACCTATAAATTAATACCTGGTGCGATCTGTAAACAGCACTGTAGAGACAAAGGTGGCCGGGCGTGGTGTTGACCACCCACCACTTAATAGGTGCGGCATACCGGCCTTCATAGGTGCTCGCTACGACAGCATTCACCCCAACAGCCAGGTAAAGACCATACGGGAGGGTCGGGGTGGGGGATCTGTGTGTTTGCCGTTGTGTACGTGGAACCGCGCGTCATCTCGTCGTGGGATCTCGTGAAACCAGAGACCGGACTTGGCGCCTACACGGGACGCACAATGGCCCTGAATACCGGGGATGCCAGGAGCCCCCACTCGTCCCCACCCCACCCAGGCGCTCGCAACGCCCGACACTTGTATTCATATTATTATTTACTACTACTACTACGCTTGTTTACCCAGGAAAAGCCTCACTGGGTCTCATGACTCGGGAGATTCCTGCCAGGTTTTTTGCAGTCGGGGTGGCGATGTTGCCCGCTGTGTGTAGACCCAGTCGAGTAATTAGCGTTGGCATGTTTGGCCATTAGCGATTCCACACGGTCGTCTTTTTTTATTTTCTTCAATCTGAAACGCGAACAAAACCAAATGAACAACGTGGAGGTGGGGCTCGGTGATGAGTGGCTTCCTGGTGAGTGAATTAAGGGTAGGGCTAGTGTTAGTGGCTATCTGGCTAATTGCTTAACGGTAGGGGTAGGGTCCTGCTGGCTAGTGTGGTTCAGGTTAGGGTCTGGTTGGCGAACGTGGTTAGGGGTAGATTCTGGATGGCTATCGTGGTTAGGTTTAGGCGTTGGGTCTGGCTGGCTGGCGAGTGTGGTTAGGTGTAAGGTCTGGTCAGTGTGGTGGGATTATCGCCGTAAACGTGCGCGAGTAGGCGCGTGCTTTGAGTGGTTGACAGTGGCTGAATCTGTTGGTGGTGGTGTCTGTCACCATGTTTGCATGCCGGCCGCCAAAGAGTCTAGCCGTGTTCTTAGCGATTGGCGCTGGGTGACGGAGGTGTTGCCAACCCCCCCCCCTTGCCCCCCCCCCCCCCCACCTCCACCCCCCCCCACTGTGGTCAGGCAAAGAACGACTCAAGTACGTGAGTCTGGCCGTGCTGGTCGTGCAGAATGCGTCGCTCATCCTCAGCATCCGCTACGTGCGCACGCTGCCCGGAGACAAGTTCTTCTACACGACGGCCGTGGTGCTCGCCGAGCTGCTCAAGATGCTCACGTGCCTCGTGCTGCTGCTGCTGCAGCATCGCGGTGAGCGAGGCTCCGGGGGGAGAATTTGACGAGACGCGGGGTGGGGTGGGTGAGTGGGTACAGACGGGGAGGTTTCAGGGAGACTCGGGGCAGTTGAAGGGGAGGCGCGGGAGGACGCGGTGGGGACGCAGGGAGACGGTGCGGAGACGCGGTGCAGACTCGGGGGAGCATTCAAAGACGCGGGCAGATTCGGCTTCCCCGGGTCATCAAGCGTCGTAGTAGTAATGCTAATACTCTGATGTGCGCGTGCGTCAAATGCGCGGATGGCGCAGGCAACGTGTGCGAGTGGCTGCGGTACCTGTACGAGTCGATCGTGCTGCAGCCCGCGGACACGCTCAAGCTGGGCGTCCCCGCCGTCATCTACACCTTGCAGAACAACCTGCAGTACGTGGCCATCTCCAACCTCCCCGCAGCCACCTTCCAGGTGTGCGTGGTCTGTGTGTGTGGCCTGTGTATGCATGTGATGTGTGGTGCGCGTAGTTCGTCTTGTTGTGTGGTAGGTGTACGTGATGTGCGTATGCGTGCGTGGTGTGTGCGGTGGGGAGCGGTGGTGTGGCGGTTAGCGCGCTGCGCTACGAACCCGGCTACCCGAGTTCGATTCCCGGTCGCGGCCAACACTGGTGACGATTATGTGAACCGGTCCTGGACCCCCCCCCAAAATCAAATGAGTACCTGGTGCAATGCTTAAACATCGCCACTAGAGAGACGAAGGCGACCGGGCGTGGTGCTGGCCACCCTCCCCCTCGTGTGCCGTGCCGGCCTTCATAGGTGCTACTCGCTAACAGCATTTTCCCAAATAGTCTGTTAAGGCTGTGCAGGGGATCTTTGTCTTTGTGTGTGTGTGTGGTAGTGTAGCGGTTAGCGTACTGCACTATGAACCCGGCGACCCGGGTTCGATTCCCGCTCACGGCCAACACCAGTGACGATTAACTAAACCGGTCCTGGGCCTCCCGTAGGTCGACTCAGCCTCAAATGAGTACCTGGTGTGGTGTAGTAAACATCGCCACTAGGGAGACAAAGGCGGTCGGGCGTGGTGCTGGCCACCCACCCCCTTCGTGTACCGTTCCGGCCTTCATAGGTCCTCGCTAACAGCACTTGCCCCTACAGTCTGTTAAGGCTACACGGGGGATCTTTGTCTTTGTTTGCGCTGTGAACAACTGGCTTTAACCAAACAACATCTGAAGCAAAATCCCAAAACATGGACTCGGTTACTGGTTCAAAAATAAATAAAAATTGCACTGCAGCTCGAATGGTAATTTTTGTTCTATATATAAAGGCTGCAGTCCCTAAGCCTGTGACACTGTAGGGCAGATTCGACTGCAGTCCCTCAGTCACAAAGTGAGATGTGTTCATAAGCCACGCGAGACTGATTCTGCACAGTCAACATGAGAGCTGAGGGTGAGAGGGAGACACTGAGACTCCGGTGTGTGATAGTCACATCACACACACGGGCCAGTATGCAGCCGTGGAAATGCCACATTCCTGTTGGACAACCACTGTTGAACTTTTCCACAAAGCGGTAGCTATCTTATTGACCCCTGAGGGAAGATGATGAGCTGAGTTAACCCCTCCCCCGAACTTGGATTTGAACTCGCGACCTTCCGATTGCGATCTGCTCTTTCAACTGCTGAGCCTCCGGGCAGCTATTATTAACAACATCACCATCAACACCACCATCACCACCATGATCACCATCTACAGCCGCCATTCGCCACCAAGTGCTGGTGATGTCACCAATGCGCTTGTGCCAGGCTTGGTGCGCTTTGAGGCCACGTCAAGTGTAGAAGGCTCGCTGACAGGAGTGCATGGGACAGACCCAGGTGCCATTGGTTGACTGACTGAGATGACTTACAGATCCACCAGCTGTGCTCCTCACTGCTAACTTGCTGCGTTTTAGCCGCCCGGCGCTGCACTGATAGCTAGGCAGTGTTGCTCCTCCCCTCTCCGTTGTTGCTGGAGGGTGACTGGCTCCGACTGCCCAGCAGCGTCCTTTTTTGAGCCTCTTCCAAAGAGGCCAATATTGACACTGCTGGTACTTGTCATTGGCAAGTCCGATCAGCTCAATCCTTGTGTACCACATCAATCCAACTCTTCTCCAGGCCATACCGCAATCATTAAGCCCCCTCTATACAGCCAAACAGAAGCTGCTTGAGTATGCGGTGCCTAGGCATGAAGGTCACATGACCCAGCCAACGCAGCCTCACCTGCCGGAGGAGCTCACTGATGGGACTATGTCAGGATCGTTCCAGGATTTGTGAGCTCCTCACACGATCTCGCCTGGTTAAACCCAGGATGGATCGTAGGCATGCTAGCCTGAATCTTTTAAGCTGGCTTAGATGTCCCTTTAAAGGGCTCCACATTTCACAAGCATAGCGAAGGAAGGGCATAACTGTGGCTGAAAAGACCCAGAGCTCCATATGGAGTGACAAACCAGGAAGCTTGCACACAGCGTTATGCAGCTGACGAAAAGATAATGCCGCTGGACTGATTGGGAGTGAGACCTCCACTGCAAAATCCGTGCTGGTAGTAAGTACACTGACCAAATATAGAAACTCCTCCACTCTCTCCACAACTGCCCCGTCATTCATGGGGAGTTGAGGGGGTAGAGCATTGGATGATACAAAATACCCAGACAGGTGCTTTGTTTATGTGGGACTGATGGTAAGGTCTTAATGACATGCTTCAGGTTCAGCACTGGTCTCCGAGTCCTCAGAGTGAGCAGCAATTACCAGATCATCGGCATAACATTAGGGAGCCATCCCGCACCCGGGCATCGGTCAGCCACCCATTGTATCTATACCAGATGGAAATTCCTCTGGTACAGCTATGGAAAGCTTCTTGAACTACGTGGTCAAAGAAGATGTTTAATAATGTAGGGGCCAGAGGACATCCTTGTTGCACCCCAAGGTGACCAGGGAATGGCTCTAACTCCGGACCATACAGCTTTACCTGGAGCTGCCCACAATGATGAATGTCCTTAGCGATTGTGAGCAGACGGTCAGGGACCCCGAAAACATGAAGAATAATCCAAATTCCTGACATTGATAATATCATAGGCCTTGACCAGTTCAATAAATTCGCTAAACCTTCGCTGTCCCAGACAGAGGAAATGGGGTCTGTGTAACCACATTGGGGCCTCCGCAAGCCTCTCAGCGTTCCTGGCAAGGCAATGTGGAATAATTATCATTGCCAGGATCTTTCCCGGCCTCGCACTGAGGAGGGAGATGCCCTGGTAGTTGTTGCAATCAGTGTGGATCCCTTATTAAAAATGGGGACCACCAGAGCAATAGTCACATAGACACAAATAGCCAGAAAAAAATACAAAGATCCCCCAGTATAGCCTGAACAGACTGTTTGGGCAAGTGCTGTTAGCGAGCACCTATGAAGGCCGGCACGGCACACGATGGGTGTAGGTGGCAAACATCCAAACCCGGCCGTTTTTGTCTCCCCAGTGGCGATGTTTACTACACATCGCACCAGGTACTCATTTGAGGCTGAGTCGACCTAGGGGAAGCCCATGACTGGTTCAGATAATTGTCACCGGTGTTGGCCGTGAGCAGGATTCGAACTTGGGTCGTAGGGGTTCATAGCGCAGCGCGCTAACCGCTACACTACCACTCCCCACAACAAATAGTCACATACACTAGCACACAGACGTAGATACCTGACAGTGAATTTAATGTTAAGTGGGCTGACGTGCGTTACAGGACTGCTGTGTAATATTTATGTCCGATGTGTGTTATTGCAGTACATTTCGTGATATTGTGTCATTGCAGTAAATTGTGTTCTTGCCTGTTGTGTTTCTGTTATCGCCTAACACTGTACATTTGCAATCAAATAAACTGCTAGCACTGACACAGAGCAGTAAGCTTCACCCAGAATTCCTGAAAACAGCCCAATGACTTGTAATGATTAACGGGTTAGGAACCACCGCACGAACCCTTAGGGTTACAGTTGACTGTTAAACAATGTAGAGGACACGTGATTTATATCATCTGCAAAATCGGCGGGGACCTGCAGCCCCGTGAAGCCTTTGTGGATATCGTTGCCCTGCCCAATTTGGCTGATTTAAATATAAATCCATTTATAATAATGTAATTTATATAGGGTGATTCATGCTAATTGCATCCCATCAATGCCATCCGTTAATTATACGTTGACGCCTCTACTTACGAACATTCGACTTACGAACTTTCGGTGACATGAACAAACCTGTCCGTATGTCCAGTTGCCCGTTCGGACCGAGAGTCGTAAGTTCAAACGCCGCGCGATAGATGGCGGTGGTGGAATCTACATCTGCAGAACGTGAAGAACCGGTGGCATCTACGTCTGCAGGAGATGATGCAACTTTTAAAGCCATTCCCCGTGTTTAGTGTGCACGCCGTACAACGTGTTTGGCATCGACAGAAGTAAAGTTGGCACTTACAAGCAAATCGACTTACAAACAGACCTCTGGAACCTAACTCGTTCGTAATAAGAGGAGTCCCTGTACACGAGTGCCAGCTCCTATTTATAGCAAATTAAAACCCTCAGAAAAACATAAACAGATCTAAGAGATGGCACCAAAACACCAAAAGAGGCACAGACGACGACAAAGTGTTATTGCAACAGAGAAATTAGTCCATTAAGGCTCCACATCCCGGACGAGTGAATTGTAACTGTTGAGGGCTGAACTGCAGTGTTTTCGACTTTTAAATCATTAAAAGGGTCACGGAGAGCCCATTTGAGGAACGTACAGTGCATACGAAATGTGCGCACTGTCCTTTAGCGAAATGTGTGTACTGTACTTTGGCGTTTAGAAGGCCTCTACAGTATCCCGCAAGCAGCACCCGCCCCAGCTTCTGTCCGCATCTCCGTCTGCGCATCTCCCTTTTGCCATATAAATATGTAAATATAACAACAAACTCGGTTTTCCGACAGCACAATTCGCAACAAGGCCTCAAAGCCCTTTGCACGAAGCCGAAGTTGCGGAGAAAGCCCATGTGCAAACACCGGTGAGTTTCAAGACACGATTTATAAAGTGCGACAGGCTCAGATTCCTAAATGGATCCAGGAAGGGAATTCCACAATCGCAGAGCCTGGCTGCACAAAGCCTCTGTCTCGCACAGAACAACGTGTGGTTATTTGGAATATATGACTTGAGACCAGAATCGGCGGATATCAAAGTTTGCGCAGTGGGATATCAAAGTTAAGCGGATCGGTGGTGAGATATTCGGGAGCCAACTCGTTCAAGGCCGTGAGAAGAAGAATCTTGAAGTGAATCCTCTACTTCGCAGGGAGTCGGTGACGGGAGGAATATCCGGGCAGCTGAGTTTTGAATATATTGTAGTCTTTTTTTTTAAGGACTTTTTAAGAAAAGCCACCAAGCAAAGAATTGCGCAGTAATCAACCTTGACCAAATGAGGGCACGCACCAGCCTCTCAGCATGAAGTCTTCAGTCGAGGCATGTTGCGTAATTGAAGATGAGATTTTGGTAACGTTTCGTACCTGGGCCTCAAATGTCAAACCGGTGTCTAGGATGACACTCAGGTTTCTGACCTCATGGGAAGACCGAATTACAGCCCCATCTATGGCCAGATTAAAACCATCCAATTTACGCACTTGATGTGGAGGGCCCAGCAAACATAATCTCCTTCTAATCACAAATTAATTTAAGAAATTTTAGGTGAATCCACGACTCGACCTTAGCACGTTACAGCACAGAGAACCGTATTGGGCTGTCTGTGTTGCAATTAACGTTGCTTATTAACGAAGTGATGGCAACATTAGCAACGCACACTGCTCCTGCATGTTAACCTGCAGTGTAAGGTACACAGGGGGGGAGGCATGCATATGATAATTTTGAGCGATTATGGAAAACTTAACCGGTTCGAACAAGTTTTCCAAAACTGTCACCCGGAAACCGAACTTTTAAAATCCATTTTCAACTGGTTGCTACGGGTTTTCGGTCGGAATGGTTTTTGGATTCACCGAATCCAGCAAAAAAAAAAAACGGTTACTGGTGCCGCACGGACAGACACGTCTGGAGCAATGAATGCGACGTGTTCGACCGTTTAGCTGAGAGACGGAGGGAGCCGCCACGGTGGGGTCGATGGTCAGAGATCGAGAGGTCGCAGGCTCGATTCCGTCTCGCGGGGCGGAAGTTGAAGCAGTGGTGCAAGCTTCTCCCCCTAACGTCTCCGTCCACCCGGCAATATAAACCCCCGTTGGTCGTTCGGCAGCTTGCATGCGGTGGGGTCAAGTGTGGGTACGCTCACCTCTTCCAACACGTCTGGTTAGCGCGGAAGAGTAGGCCAAATGCCCGCCCGAGCATCCTCGAGTTGAGGCCCCCCGTCTCCCAGCAGACATTGCAGGGCCGCGCCTTTACCTGATGAGAAACGTCGGCAACCTGTGCATCCGTCACTAAAATTGCATGGCAAACGATCGCCGGTACCCGACTCGTGGTATCGTTTAACCGATTCCGACAACGGTTACCGTTTAACAGCCCTAATGCGTATGCACGGAGCGGTGGCGGGTTCCTTCAGAAGCTCCCAGCACGTGGAGTGAAACGTCGGACGCGCGTGACTTGTGCCATCTCTCTTCTCGCCGCGTGCGCGCTCCTCTCAGGTCACCTACCAGCTGAAGATCCTGACGACGGCGCTCTTCTCGGTGCTGATGCTGCACCGCTCGCTGTCGCGGGCGCAGTGGGGGTCGCTGCTGCTGCTCTTCTGCGGGGTGGCGGCCGTGCAGGTGCAGCAGGTGGGCGGCGGCGAGTCCTCGACCGCCGGCGGCGACCAGAGCTACCTCATCGGACTCGTCGCCGTCATCATCTCCTGCGTCTCCTCGGGCTTCGCCGGAGTCTACTTTGAGAAGATCCTCAAGGGTGAGCGAGCTGGCGGGCGAGCGGGTGGGCGGGCGGGCGCGCAGGCGAGCGGGCGAGCAAACGATGCGTGTGAACGTGCCAGCGAGCCGCTGCGTCCCTCTGTCTGCCGGTCGCCCCCTACTGCTAGACTAGTGCAGGCCGTGTCTGTAGGCGCAGCGCCACCCTATGTGGTCGCCCTTGCCGCTGTAGGAATGGTGCCAACAGCAAATGTGCACGAAATTTGATTTGGCCATCTTCTCTCCCTCCTCTTTCCATCCCCATCCTCCACCACCACCACCACCACCCTCTCTCGTCCCTGCACCACATCGCCCTCGCTCCTCCTCCTCCTGCTTTGCCCGTAGGCTCGGGCGGCTCGGTGTGGCTGCGCAACGTGCAGCTGGGACTGTACGGCACGGCGCTCGGCCTCTTCGCCATGTGGTCCAAGGACGGCGCGGAGGTGGCGCGGCTCGGCTTCCTGCACGCCTACTCGCCCGCCGTGTGGGCCGTGGTGCTCAACCAGGCCTTCGGCGGCCTGCTGGTGGCCGTCGTCGTCAAGTACGCCGACAACATCCTCAAGGGCTTCGCCACGTCGCTCTCCATCCTGGTCTCCACCGCCGCCGCCGTCTTCCTCTTTGACTTCCATGTCGACTGGCTGTTCGCGACCGGGGCGGCCATGGTGATCGGCGCCGTTTACATTTACAGCCTCCCGCCGCGGCCCAGCGCCGCCGCCGCCAAGAAGGAGGATGAGAAGGGCCCGGTGGGGGCGACCGTGCTGTCCGTAAAGTCGTGAGCGCTGGCGGTAGCGGGGGAGGGAAGGGGAGGGCCACGGGAAAAGGGGGGAGGGGGGGGGGTGAGCGTGTTAGACAAGATGTGCACAGCTCGCTCACTCCGTCGCTCGCTTCATCGCTCGCTCCTCGGCTAGTCATGGCCGTACAGGAGGATCGGAGTCATGGCTGGTGCCGGAGGTGCAGCGGCGGTACCGGATCCGGCCGATGAGATGCATTCTGGACGCTCGCGACACGCGCGTAAAATCGTGCACGTTCGATCGTCGAGTGGGCGGGCGAGTGGGTGAGCGAGTGGGTGGGCGATTGGGTGAGCGAGTGGGTGAGCGAGTGTATGGGCGATTGGGTGAGCGAGTGGGTGGGCGATTGGGCAAGCGGTCGAGTGGGTGAGGTGGCTGGGTGAGATCAGAGACAATGAGCCGGCACGGCTGAAAAAAACGGGTTCAACCGCCAAACAACGGTGATGAAATCCGGCTTCTCCATTGCAGCGTGAGTTGATGGTCTCAGTAGCCCAGCGACCATTGAACAAAAAAAAAAAGCCTTTGTATTTAAAAAAAAAATGTAATCTAATTTTGTTGAGTCCAGCTCTGAGGACTAACAATCTCAGCTTTACCTGTTGGAGGTTTCTTGAAGAGACTCCAGAAGTAGTCCTGTGATGTCATCGTCTGGGGGACTGTCCACTGTGAGGGTTGTACGTGGACATACATTTGTCTCTTGACGTGTCGCATGACATCGGTGCAATTCGACTACGATTTATAGCGGGTGGGCAGACTTATTGTTTGGGATGGAGCACTTTTCAATTAAAAACTTGTGCCCTATTATTTCTAATGATTACGATTTTTTTTATATTTACACTATTTTTCTGTCAGACAATGTAAATGTTTGGTGTACATTTTGATAGATTTTTACAGACTTACTCGTGACCAAACCATAGCGCACTATTTGAGCCGAGTAAATAAATGAGACTCAACTTCGTTCGGTGAGAATCGTTGAACTGGAAGATTTTGCACGCACTTCATTCTTTTCATTATTTCCGATTTAACCGACCTCATTCCACGCTCCGCTACCCCGTGACTCCAGCCCTCATCTTCCTGCCTTCCCCTCCTCTCCGTTAGCCGGCTCCGCGCCTGCCGAGCGATCCGTTGTGCGAGCGAAGGAAATCGCTGTCGCGCCTGCGAAGCTTTGACCCTCGCCCGCAACTGCTTTTGCCCACACCTGGACGCGAACAGTTGCGTCATTCGGGATTGTCGCGGCCAGTCACGGCTGTCGCTGAGCGTGCCGCCGCGTGAGAGTCGCGCAGCTAATCGCTGCGGTGTGGACGTGGTTTTAATTCTCTTGTGTGCACATCTGGGGGAGGGGGAGCTGCCACGGTGTGCCGTGGTGATCACGAGCACGCCGGCCTCGCCATCCAAAGGGGGCGACGGTTTGATTCCATCTGCCGGCGCGGCAGATGGAACGACGATGCAAGTTTCTCAAATCCCCCCCCCGCTCCACATCGCCTCTGTCCACCCAGCAGCAATGCGAATTAATTGATCATCTTCAATCAATCGGCAGGTCGCACGTGGTGGGGGTGGTTAAATTGTGCGGACGCCCACTTCTTCCATCACGTCTGGTCAATGTGGAAGAGTAGACCAAATACCATCTAGGGCTCCCTGTGCTAGAGGCCCTTCTGCCAGCAGTGGTATAAGTAAGTAATTGCAGACCTGCACCTTTACCTTAAAAAAACACAAAAATCTGACACGTGCCAGATTCCGGAGGGGAGGCGGTGGCATTGTTAGTTTTCTATTTTCACCGTGACATTAAAAGCCAGGGATGGATATTTTTTTGGTGGGATTGTGGATTTGAAAATGAATCTGCGTTCCTGCGTTCCCTGTTTGTGCCAAATCGGCACTGTAAGCTGACGCGTCATTATTTTAAGACAACGATTGAGTTCGGGGTCGGTCAGTCGCTGATCTCACGGCGGACGAGTGCCATCGGATACTGGGGTTGTGCCGCATCGCCAAAACAAAACGGTGACGCCGTCAATTTTTGTGATACCGTCTACGCCGATATTTTGATACAAAATAAGCTCGGCGAACAGATTCTTACCGATCCAGGCCGAGGGCAAACTCGACGCGTTTGTCACGGCGCCGTCTTCATTAACCTTCGTCGAGTGTGGGAGCTCGCTCTGGCTTCTGCCGGTGACCTCTGTATGACCTACGACCTGATGCGTGTATGCAATCTAACCCAAAAAAACCTGAATTATGGATGATATTGGTCGCGAAAGCCTACGTGCTGAACTGACCTGATGTAGGCTTAACGCTTGGGTTTTTTGCAGCCGATATTCGGATCCGTGAGTGATTTGTGGGTTAGGCCACTTATTGAGCTGGCGAAGGTTTGTGTTTTCAAGACTGTCCACCACCCAGCGCAGACAAAAAAATGTAATGTCACGTTAATAAGCTTTTAACGATGGGCCAACTATCATTGTTCCGTTCACCGGCAAGTTGAACAATTCTCAAAACTAATCGGACCTGGACCTTTTTATTCTGACTTCCTGAATCTGGTCCTGAAGATGCTTTTAATAACAACCCCTGTCATTTTCTCCACCACTTTCATCTTAGGCACAATTTTATAATTGCTGTAAAGTGCCTTGGAATAAGGCGCTGTGCAAGCCTACATCAGATAAGTTTCAAGCGAAACGTCGCGAATCTAATTGAGTTAAATATGGCTGTGAGAATTCTTCCCTGGCGAGTGAGCTGAAACTATCACCATTGGCCCGTTAAACGCCTGTACTCGTGACCACTTACTTTGGCCGCGTCAGGTGACGGGGAGGGTCTTAACGGCACGAATTGACCTCGGATCATTATCACGTGGCCTGCCCCAAAACAAATCGATTACGAACCCGATGTAGGTCAAACTTGGGAGTGCCAACAGCGAATGTTCAACCTGGGCAGTAAGACGGATTCTCCGCTAGTTTCAAGCGTATCAGTCCATGAGGGCGATCACATTTGCGGGCCTTCTCTACAGCAGCCGTCTCGATCCTTGCCGCCAATTTTGGCACGTTCATTCCCTCCTCTTCCATCCCGGCGCGCGCACTCCTCTTAACTCGTGGGTGCCGAACGCGTTCGTTCATATGTGGCGTCCGTCCGGCTTTAACGAACGGAGACATGATCCGTTAGGAACGAAACTCGAGTCGTGAAGTCGCGTCGCTCTTCGGGGACCCGGCCCGGGAGAAAACCGGACAGACTGGTGGTCAGAGCGACTCCCGCGCCCTCCCCCGAAGAGCCGCTGCTATGCGAGCCCCGTGGCCTCACCTCGGCCTACGGTCGCGCAGCTCCCCGTGCGGCCGACGCGCGCACACGCGCGCATTAGAACTCGCGATGGATTCCGTTCGTGCGAATTGTTCCGCGTTGGCGTTCGACCGACACGCGCGCCTGTACTTACTCTCCGATGTTTCTCACCATTGCAGGAGGAAGCGTTCCTTCCGATGCAGTTGCTTCCCACTTTGTTTACACTGCGCCGAGGCGTACGGACGGCGTTGCGCGTTCATCATTTAACGCGGAGCACGGTTGCATGATTTTCATTTTGAAAAATGTCTCATTTTCATATTTAGTTTTGATTGTATATTTGAGCTGCAGGCCCCGCCACGGGTGCAACGCCAGGACCCTCGGGGAACCCGTTCCGAAACCGAGGGCCGGCCGGTCGCTCGTGACATCGGCGCCATCCAAAAAGTCGCACGGCAAACGAGAACGCGCCGTTTACACCGAGTGTACAGAGGGCCTTTGCCAGGGTCACGAGCGACTCGGAGCCGTGCTTTATCGTTTCATTTGGCGAGTCCCGTTGAGCTAAGGAGCTCCGTTACAAGGACCGGCCACAGCCCACGATCGTCGGCAGGGCCGGCAGTTACAGGACCTCGCACGGTGGGAATGTGCAAACTCGCGAGCGAGAAAACAACAAGCTATTTGCACGAGCGACTGAGAACGGTAGTAATGTTAGAAGCCACGACGTTGTTGCCACGTCGAAAATAATTCCCCCCCCCCCCCCCGCTCGTCCACCTCCTGTACGCGATCAGTGGGGATAAAATTCGCTCGCCGGGACGGGCGGTGATTGTTTGCGGTCCCCCGTTGCGGGAGTGCGAGGCCCCCGCGGCCCGGCGCGGGCCGCGTGTGACGGAGTCGCAGGCCATGCCGCCGCTGCTGGAGTCGCCGTGGATGTGGTTGGGGCATCGTGTGGAATTTCGGCGATGTGGAGGGGGAGGGGATTTTGAGAAACTTGCACTGTCGTTTCATCTGCCGCGCACCGGCAGATGGAATCAAACCGTCGCCCCCTTTGGATGGCGAGGCCGGCGTTCTTAACCTGAAGGTGCGCGTTGCATTCCATGGGTTCTCGTCACCCCCCCCCCCCCCGCCCTGCAGCCTCTCGTGGCTGTAGTACATACACACTCTCACGTGTGTGTATGTACGTTGAACTTCTTTCGCACCGTACGTAGCTAACCGTGCTAATCCTTGGTCGGTCAGGTGTCCGTCGCGAGCAGAGGAGGCCTACAACGCGTGAATTCGCTGCTGGATGAGGCCCGCGTGGTGGGCGGGCGGGGGGGGTTATTTTGGCCATACTTCACCGCGCTGGTTACTGCAGGTGAGCCAGCGTGGCGAAGACTTGACGGGGGCGGAGCCAGGATTTCAGGCCGGGGTGACATTCAACAAATGTTAATTTCAAGAATGATTTAGAGAGAGTCAGGCTGTTGAGCTAGACGCCATCGGTTGGCGACGCACTCTGACAATGCAGTTGCACGCAGTCCGCCAGACCGAGTGCCGTACACTTACACGCAGAATGTCACCCCCTGTCACCCCCCCTGTCACCCCCCCTGTCACCCCCCCCCCCTGGCTCCGCCCCTGCTTGAGGACATGCTCGGGTCGTGTTCTGGGATTTTTTTGTTAACACGTGAGTGATCCATTTAGAGATACCCCGCTAATTTCTTATTGCACCTCAAGGGCCGAGTGCAGTGTCTTGAGAGAGAGGTGAGATGGGTGGGGTGCGCGTCGGGGATTTGACATAACCATGTTGTTTTTGTTTTCTCTATAATTTATCGCTGTTCAGTGGGGTATCTAGAAACGCACCACCTCGTGCCAACTACAGGCCACGTGGTTTTTGTTTTCTTGTTTTTTTCGGGCAAATTTCTATTTGTATCAATCTATGCCTCTGTGTTTGACCGAATGAAATGTATGCGGTCGGGGAAAAGTGTGGGTATATATGGGTGAATAATATACATGATTTGGAGGGGGGGGGGAGGGTGGTTGGGTATTTTGGGAAATCCTTCTATGGTATAATGCGGTGTAAATAAAAATATATATATATATTTATTTTGAATCCCTTGCGTAGAGGAGTGATCTTTGGGAGCGATGGAAACTCCCGGTGGGAATGCACCGACACCTGGAGCAGATGACAAACTGGGTCACTTCCAAGTTACAATTGCAACGTTTTAATTCAACCTCCCGGCACGGCACTTGATCACTTTCCCCAGCCTCCTGCCGCCTCCATCCCGACCAGCAGCATTAAAAAGGCGTCTGGCTCGGCGACGGAAGAGTAGGCCAAATGCCATCTCTCTCTCACTCGCTCTCTCGAGTGGCCGCCAGCAGTGGGCGCGAGCGCTAATCCAGCCACCGGCGATCAGACGCCTCCTTGTCAATCTTCTGTTGCTACTACCAGTCGCGGATTACATTTGTAGCTACTACACGTGTAGTAGCTACGGGCCCCGCACTCTCAAGAGCCCCGCGCTAAATGCTTTAAAGCCATTAATCCCAGTTCAGTGATTCTGCACTTGCTCTATTACTATAGTACTATACCGCCTTCAACTTTTATGAACGACCGAGTGGTTAAGGTTAGCGATTTGTCGTATTATCTGGCTGTATAGCTAATGAAAAAATACAATTACTTCACGCAAGTTAAAAAATTCTTTTTTTTTTAATTCAGGACCACTTCATAACATATGCTACAGGCCCCGCACGAGCTTCATCCGGCACTGGCTACTACCGTGGTTGCTGATCTCATGGACGTTAGGGGCCGTCCATAAATGACGTCACGCACCTGGGGGGGGGGTCAGACATTTGTGACAATGTGTGACGGGGGGGGGGTTTGAGAAATGTGACGTCACATCAAAATGCGCAACTTTAAATAAATATAGACAACACGTTCTTGATTTAAAGCTTTCGTGACTGCAAGGATCCATACTCTTTGGTTCTATTCGGTAAAGTCACGTAGGTAAAAAATAAAACAACAAAAATCACGACGTTTCGGCCACAGCACAAGCGGCCTTCATCAGGTGAAGGGATCAGGCTGTCTCGAGGACAGCGCTGGAGTGAAACACAGCCACGCTCAGACCGCGGACCTTTAAGCTGTGTGCGAGGAAATAAGGTGCCTTGACAAAGGAATTAGCATAAAAAATAGCATTTGATTTGCCGACTTAGCACAGAGGTGGTGTACGTGCGGGTGGACTTGCCGGTTGGCGCGGGGGGGGGGGGGGAGGGGGAGTTTACCTATTGATGGTGTGAAAAGGGTATTTAAGAGCTGCGAATGTTTGGGGTACCACTACTTGAAAAATATACTGTACCATTGAAAATTAGTTTAATGTTTGGTTCGATTTAGAACATCTTTCCAATGATTGCTTAATTTGAAACCATCTTCTCGGTTGAAATTGTGTCTGTGTTTGTAGATCTGAATTGTCTCGTGAACAAATCTCTGATAAAAACCCGTGGGTTTGCAAAGAACCTTGGTATCGGAGAAAATTATATCGTGATCACCCACAGCGTTGTAACAATGATCAGCTACGGCAGAAGAATTCGTTTTGCCGTGTTTCAAATCTGATTTGTGCTCGCGAATTCGGTCAGAGACATGTCGCTTTGTCTCCCCGATATAGCAATCACCGCAGGTACAACTCAATTTGTAAACGACTGCTGTATCTTCTCCGAATTCTAAACAGATTCTGTTTAAGGCCAGCCTATCTTTAATCTCAGAGAGGATAAGGCTACTCTGATTTGAACTCGATACTTTAGACAGGACTCTCCTACAAGCTCATTTAATGTTAACACAACAAATGTCACCTTCTGATTGGAATCACCTAGACAACATGACTGCTTCTTCTGCTGATTCACTGTCAGTCAAATGTAAAGCTAACCTGATTTCTAAATTCAACCACCTATCAAAGAAGAACCCAGTTCCACATATAACAAAACTAGACGTTAACAAAATCGTCATTAATCAGAGTAGCACCCCGATTTCGGACAATCTGAAAACAGTACTGGCTAGGGGACTGAATTTTGCTGTCACCCCAAAACACATACCAGTAGATGATATCATGTCTCAGGTCGATGTAGCCCTCGAAGGCGTAGGACACATCCAAGCAGACGTTGCGAGAGCTGAAATAGCCACTATTCTTAAGAATGCTAAGAAACCCATTAGTGACATCAGCAAATATGAACGCTCTGAACTCGCGAATTAAAAAAAACACAAGTGATATATTTCGATTTAAAGCTTTCGTGACTGCAATGATTCATCTTCTTTGGTTCTTTCGGTAAAGTCACGTAGAATGAGAATAAAATAATAAATTAATAAAATAAAATAACACAATAATATTCTCACGACGTTTCGGCCACAACACAAGCGGCCTTCATCAGGTGAAGGGGCGAGACTGTCTGGTAGGACAGCGCTGGAGTGATATAGTCATCCTCTCAGCCGATAAAGGCAACGCTACTGTAATTATGGATAAAGATTCATACAACAACAAAATCCAGAATCTGCTCAACGATGGAAGTTACTCAAAAATTAAAAATGACCCTACCAATAGCCTAGCAATGAAAACCAACAAGATCATCACAAGTTCGACCTCCCTAATCGACCCAACTAAACGTCCCTCGCTAAAACCTTCTGCTGCAAGACCCTCTAGATTCTATGGTCTTCCCAAGATTCATAAAGAAGGCACCCCACTACGACCCATCGTATCCACGATCAACTCCCCTACCTATAGACTAGCCCGTTTTCTGTCAGATACCTTGCTGCCTTTCACTGGCAAGACCGCCTCAGCAGTACTTAACTCAGCCCAATTGGTCTCTATGGTCAAAGACGTTGTACAGTCCCCTGACGATATCCTTGTCAGCTTCGATGTGGTCTCTTTGTTCACCAAGGTCCCAGTACCTGATACCATTGAAATAATTGAAAATTTGGTCCAACATGGACTAGACCCCGATACACCTGCAGTGGTTAGGCACTGCCTCAACAATACCTACTTTACTTAGAATGGCTCCTTCTACAAACAAAATGAGGGTACCCCCATGGGATCCCCCTTGTCACCAGTGATAGCCAATATTTTCATGGAGAAATTTGAATCAGACGCCATCCAGACTTCCACCCTCAGACCTTCCCTGTGGAAGAGATATGTGGATGACACTTTCGTCATTTGGCCACATGGCCTCCCAGCTCTGAACCTTTTCCTACACATCAATTCTAGACATCCCGCCATCAAATTCACCATGGAAGTGGAGAAAGATGGCAAGCTACCATTCTTAGATGTTCTGTTTGAGAGGAGACCTGATGGCTCATTGGGGCATTCTGTCTACAGGAAACCCACCCACACATATTCCTACTTGAAACCTGATTCCTACCACCACCCAGCCCAAAATAATTATCTCATCAAAACTTTATACCATAGGGCTCATTGCATTTCGGAACAACACCACCTGACCAGTGAATTAAAACATGTACACCTGGCCCTCAAAAGGAATGGATACTCTGACCGTACCATCCGCCAAGCTGTTTCTCCCTCCATACAGAAACAACCACTTGATACTCCGGTCAAACCATCACACTACCATATATAGCAGGCGTTACTAAAAAGATTTCCAAAATTCTAAACAAACACAAGATCCAGGTCCGGTTCAATACAGTACACAAAATTCGTGATCTGATCATCACCTGTGAAGGATGTCATTCCTGACTTACAGTACCCCGGGGTTTACAAATTGAGTTGT